TTGTCTAAGCACCGAAGATGACGATTCTTAAAAAGTATTTGAATGCAATTCTCCATACGACCGTCAGTTCTCACAGGAGAACAGATGATACGTCCCTTCAGTTTCGTTTTATTGAGGGAAAGATAGGCAAACGTCTTTGGGCTCTCTGCTGGTAACACAGCGGCCAAGAAATGCATCGACACAGCAGAAAAATCCAAAGGTTGTTTACATAATTGCAGGCGAAAAGACAGCAGCCTTCGGTTTATTTAAACGAGTAAATATACACGACTACTTACTTATTAGAAGTAGTGGTTACACTTACTTTTAGAGCAAATCCCGGGTCTGGCATTGCAGGCCTGAAAGACATCGCTTCTGGTTGGTAATGCTCGAGAGGTCTAAGGTAAACTGCATACGAGATGGATCTCCGGATTGGGGTCACCGCATTTTGCGCATGCTTCAGTACCTTCTGCGGTCAACATGGGCTAAAGTTTGACGAGGTCTATACGCCAGGAGACACTTAATCACAAACAGAACGCAAATTATGCAATGCACAGCACTCATCAGAATTATGATGTCCTCGAGTCATAACGTATATGCCAGAGACGCAAATAGTTCGCGCCAGCGATTTGCACATCAACTTAAAAAGTGTCATACTGAGAGCCTCTACCTAGGGACACGCTGCCATTCACTGAAATCTCAGCGGTTGTCTACGAAATAAGCTGCGATGATGGGGACTGGACATTGCCGACCCGCATACAGGAGTACAACTAGAAAACTCGGGAACCTGACCAGATGTTTGATCTTCTACCTCGAACCAGGGCAAATGAAAGAAGGAAGGCTTACAGCTGAAGCATGGCAACCAAATGCAAATTCAACCGACAGACATTTTGCCCCTCCTGTAGCTTATAAACTCTTACGTCATTATGCCCACGAAGCTTAGGGCCAGACAGTCACACAGAACTTAGGAAAGCCGCGCAGAAACTGCCCGATGACGAACACACCTGACGGAGGAAACCAACCTTTACATTGAAAAACATCGGCAAAAGCTTGACAAACTCGATAAACCCGGGGTCGATAAAACAGGTCACAGCATGCTACTTCAACCTCTGCTCGATTAAGTACATTTAACACTTTGGCAGTGGTAAGACGAATAAACTCTGAACGGTCAGCATTTCAATAAACCTGTTCCAGCTAGCCCTTCTCGAATCATCAACCCGCATCCCTCAACTTGGTTGGCAGGAAAGAACAGCAAAAAGGCAGAATGCGCAGATATGCCTATATTTTGGGGAGCCAAGGCGTTTCCCTTGCCTCTCTCTGTCCAGAGCCAAAGCCTTGTGAGAAATATTTCCGTCCAAGCGAAAGGCCACATCTTGTGGAATGTTCCGGCACAGCGAAAATTCGAGGCCCGTCCGTCGTCCAAGTAAATTAAAAAGTACTGCTTGGTCGGGTGGGGGGAGTTACCTTGTTCACAGAAACGGAACCAAAACGAAAAAGGAAAATTCACATCATTCCAAAACAAAAGATACACAGCAAAATCCCTTGATCGTGAAGACA